ATAAGCTTCCCCATATTTCAGAGAATAAGTTATTTCATAAAAGGAAGATTATAATCTTATATGTGATGAGTTTTGAAGAAAGACTGTAACTTCAGATGCCTTTAGAGCCAGGTTATATCTACAAACACAAGCTGGAAACATCAATTAATTAGTCAGGCATAGTTGACTGTGTAACTGCTTAAACAATATCAACAGCACATTAAAATGATTGCTCAATAGAGAAGTTTGCTACCTATAAAAAAAAAAATCTCTTATCTGGCATTTGCCTTTAGAGTTGGAAAATGCAGGCTTCTGACTGTATTCTGACTTCTTGTCATTTAGCTCATTATTAGTAAATATCTGACTAGTAGTGGGTACTTCATAGGTTAATGAGTTTAAGTTACTGCCTGTCATTGCTAGGGTGTGAAGTAATTTCCATAATAAAATGAACTGACAGTAAGTCACAGCATATAGTAAGGAAATGATACAGAATTCTCCAGATCTTTGAGTTTTGCTACTAATGAATTAGGACTCTAAGTCATACCACTTTAAGGAAAGCAATAAAACACTTTTTTTTTTTTTGGTAATCTAACGATAGGACATTTTCTTCATTAGGATTTAACGACAACTATTGTGAATATTTGTTGCCTGATGAAATGAGAAAGCTTTCCTGTTACCCATTAATAACCTCTGCTCCAGTCCATGCTTGGTAGCGGGTTTGGTTTGGTTTTTTTTGTAACATGGAAAAGAAATATTTCTCTCTTGTCACCTTGTTCCATGAATGCTTCATGGAAATAGTGGTGAAAAGTGCCTCATACATTTTATTCAGGCTTCTAACAGATATAACAAGAGTTCCTCCTAGAAATTTACTGAAGAGGATAAATAATCATGGAATAAGAAGAAAAGAGGCAGTAGAGTGAGACTGAATTTAAAATACAGCATGATTGTTGCCTAAAATGATGCTCAATTTTCAAGATTGAATTTGAGAATGTAAATATTCACAGGAACATGTCAGGCACAAATTATTCAAACAAATAAAAACTACACCTTTCTCTGCCTAAACATATTTGTTGAGAATTGAACTTAATGTGTAAGCAAAAAAAAAAAAGCAGCATAGACAAACATAACTTTAATACAGAATGAAATAGTGTATACAGTAGAAAGTACAGGCAAGAACTGACTATGTAGATTTATCGTGGCAACCTCATCAGCATCCCTTTGATGGGAATGTAGGTGTATAACCACTAATTTCTCAGCATGCTGTAGTCGTACAATTCTCCCTTTGCTGTTGTTAGGTATGCAAAACACTTTTACTCCTCCAGCATTTTTTCTTCAAAGAACACTACAGTTCCACATAAATCTTCCCTGTACTTCCTTTGGGAAGAGAGGCAAGGGCATTGTTTCCATTTTAGCAGAGATATTAGGTGACTTGTCGATGTAAATACAGTTACATATGGAAGCAGAACTAGGTTTAGAACTTTCTGCTTTCACCTCTTTAGCCTGTAGTATATTTACTTTGAATTCTTTGTCTGTAATAAAGTAACATTAAATGAAATCTCAAATGTTTGCAGATGATGCTTTTGTATCTAGTACTCTTAAAATCAACTTTAGCTCTCAAATAAACTCTTTCACCAATTAAGAATAGGGAATTGGAAAGGAATATGAGATGTCTGTTGAGCACTGTCTGCGTATTCAATTTGTCTGCTTCGGCACAGTCCAGTCTGCAATCTGTGTGGTTTTAGAGTTTCACATGTGTTTGCAACTGGATTTAATGGGCATGTACCTAATCATAAAGGATGGTTTTTCAGATCAGATGTATGCAGCCTCTATTTATTGGGGCTAGTCAGAGCTCAGCTATGAAATTTGTCTTTTAAATTCCTGTTTTCTTCCTGTAAGAGTGAGTCTTTAGGTTTTATGAGATATGCTGGGTTAGCTTCAGGTTTTATGCATGGGCAATGGTCCCTGGGAATGGATTTTATGAGCCATACAGTTGCTTGCCATTGAATTTCATTTACGAGTCAAATCACTTTTTGAGGCTGAGCTGCTTTCTGCAAGCTGAGTGTTATAGTGTGCCTCTGGAAAGCAGGGGTGGCTGTGCTCTGACCTCCTCTGTCACCCAAAACTAATGAATATGTGTAAATAAGATGAGAAACAGTATGAATACATTCAGACTTCAAGGCTTTTCTTTCCCCGAAAGGCATATCATAATCTATAGCTCATACTGCTCAGCGCAGTGGAGTTATTAGTGTCAAAAGGGACTAATAGTAATTAAGATGAAAAAACAGTGCTCACATTATTTGAGGTGATTTTTGTTTGCTTGGAGTGCATACAATTAGAAAGTGGAAAAAAAAAATCAGTGTTTGTAATAACATCTACAAAATGATCATCAGATTATTATGATTCCCTTTTTACTTTTGGGTTTCTAGCAAAGACAAGAATCTCTATGCCATTATTCTTTTAAAATAAACCTAATTATCAGTTCTGAAAATAAAACAAATTTATACCTATACAGACATAGAGATTAACCTGTTTTTAACACTTGTAAACCAAGATTGAGTTATTTGGCCATTAAAGATTTTTTCAGATTTTTTTATTCTTGTTCTTCAATAGCATAAAGAAGAGTACCCATCAACAGTTTAGAGGGAAAAAATAAAAATCTGTTTGCTATAGTGTGTAGGGGTTGGGTTTTTGTTAACTTCTGTAGGGTTTCTTTAATGACAATAAATACATGTGATTATGAACCATCAAAATGAAAGCAAAATTTTCCGTTTATATTGATTTCCAGACACTAGAAAACTGGAAAAAAAAACCCAAAGAAAATAAATTTTAAGGGCAAACTTACCAACTAAGTTATGCAATAAGAACACCCCTCCCAGCACGGTAGCAGCATTTTGGGTGATCAGAGCAGCAGAAGAGTGTTCTGGTAAAGCAAACGCTTCATTTGCAATTTTTATATTGGGTTTAAAAGGTTGAACTAGAGGGGAAGGCATTATATCTAACTTGAAGAAGAACTGGGGCTTGATTTTTAACTGTCTTTGT